CCCAACCCCAGTATCTGTTGTTATTCCTGTTGGAAATGTTGATGGACATTAACCAGAAGGAACCGGATCATAACACTTACCTCTATAATATAAGCAGCTTGAATGATAACTCTAACATTCTTCATAACTTGAAGATGATAAAACATCTGAACAAGCACTCATAGCATCACAACTTGAACCTGTCTTATATACACATTTTCTATATACTGCTATTGGTGTTGCTAGGTCTCCAAATTTATCAATCACTTTCAATCCCCAACATAATTCTTATTTTTTAGTTGTAGTTAATGTAGAATCAATTATATAGTCAGTACAATCCTCTGATAAGGTAATACAACCTGAATCAGTGACTTTTTGACATCTTCCAATTTCCTTATAAAAAGTCTAATCATTACAGGTTTTTGAATCGGTTTAAATAATTAACTTTTCACAAGAATCCTATAAACTACATTTAGTATCACCTTTTTTGAATGTACATTAATTTCCATTGTCATCAACAAACTTTCTACATTAAGTTAATTTAAGAGTATCAGTATTATCAGATGTAGCATAACTATATGCACAATCTGATTTATTAGGTAAATAACAAATGGTTCCTGCTAATTTACATGTGTCATTAGTAGAAATGGAAACATTCTTTTGTAAATAAGTAGTGCATGATAATGAAGTATATGTGCTCAAGTATTATTCACAAGTTCTAGCTGAACATTTAGTTGCTCCTACAGTATAACCACATAATAATCCACTGGTATCTTTAATATTGGTACAATAGTCAAATTTTAATTGATCAGTGGTTGCTGTATCAGGAAGACTATAGCTACTACAAACAGTTGCATCAATGCAAGCAGAGCCAGTTTTTAAGAATCTACAAGTTGATTTATGATCAAGACAATCTTAAGCTTATTATGGATTTGTTTTATCAGAACATAATCTATCTTAACAAGCATCATATTTTGTACACATAGTTTTGGTCCAAATAGTAGAAACTTATAAACCACCACTAAAAGTAGGACAAGTATTTACAGTACCTAGTTATTAAGAACATGATCTTGATTATCTACTAATACAACCTCCTTCAGATTTAGCAATACATCCAGACATAAAAGCTTCACAATCTTCATCTTTAATAGCTGTTGTATTATCTGTACAAGCTCTAGGAGTACATGTAGCTGATGTAGATGTTCCAAAACAATATTTAGTACTATTACTTCCAACAATAGCAGATTCACAAAATGCAGCTACACCTGTATAACTTCCACAAGTTGTATCAAAGGCTTGTGGATCAACACATCCTCCATTTCCATTATAAACACATCCTTCTAAAAATGAACCACATGTACCATCACTCTAATTTTCAGCCAATTTACAAGTTTTAACTTTACAAAAATCATTTTCAGTTGCTGATGCACTATTATAACATTAATGTGTTGTAAAATTATCAATAAATCCATTTTTATAAGCAAATATTTTATTACATGTTTCTTAGGTACCTTTCATTGATGTACATGGAGTATTATAATCAACACAACCTTTTCCATTACTAATACATCCAGGTAAGAATGTAGCACATGTAGCATTGTCTGTTGCTTCAGTATTATCTGAACACTTTCTTTAGATACAAGGAGTAGTATCAGTAGCTGATTATGTATTAGTACAATAACCTAGATAACCTAAGCAATTAGATTATGTTCCAGAAAGTTTACTACATTCATATTTGTTTATACAACCATCAACTCTATTACTAATGCATGTTGATAATTCTGTTGCACAATTTGTATCATTATTATAAAATACTCCTGTTAAATCTGAACATGTTAATTCTTTGCATGAATTATTTAACCAACCACATTTTTTAGATACAAATATAAATTATGGATTCCCATTTTCATCATATTTATCAAATGTTTTAACTCTGGCTTAATTAGCTAAGCAGATAGATTTTTTCTTAAATTCACTACAATTAGTATTACTAGTACAAACAGGTTACCATGAACAATTATTGGTACCTTCACAACTTTATTATTTAACAGTTAAATCACAAGTAGTTTATGATACACATCCAGATCCAGTAGTAACACAATTAGTAAAATAATTAGCGCAAAGTGGATTAGTATTTAAATTGGTTGCTGCTTAAGTACAATCTCTAGCTACACATTTAGTTCCACTTTTCCATGTACATTTTCCTTCAGATCCTACTCTTGATTAACAACTATTAGTATCACCATCATAAGTAGTACAAGATTTTAAATTAGTCTTTGTAACACATCCTTTTCCAGTAGTAACACATCCTATTTAATATTTATTACAACCTTCATCAGTTGTTGTTGTATCTGGAGCTTCATCACAAACTTTAGGTAAACAAGAACCTTCTGTTCCTGTACTTATTCCTTTACAATATCCATCAGTACCAATATATACAGCACAAGTAGTTGCAGTTCCTTTATATGTATTACATGATGATAATGATGAAACACATGCTTTACCATTCGTTTTACAACTACTTTAGTATTATTTACAAAGCTCATCTGTATTGAATGCTCCATTTTCACATTTTCTAGCTCTACACTTTTAACCACCAGCATCACCTTCACAAACTCCATCTGATCCTACATATCCAACACAAGTAGTATTATCTCCTGAATATGTAGAACATAAAGGTTTTGTTGTTGCTAAAACACATCCTTTCCCTGTTGTTATACATCCTTTTTAATATGCTTTACAATCATCATCAGAAGCTAATGATGTTGGTGCATTTACACATTCTTTAGCTTTACAATTTGTTGTACCAATTCCTAATTCACAATTTCCATCTGATCCAACAAAAGATTAACAACCAGCATCATCTCCTGTATATGTTGCACATGTAGGTTTTGGAGAATTTACACAACCTTAACCTTTTGTCACACAACCACCTAACCAAGCTGAACATTTTTCATCTGTATTTAAGCTACTATCTGCTTCTGAACATGCATAATCTCTACAAGCTCCAGAATTTGTATCCCATCTACACTTTAGAATTCCTGAGATACTTGGAGTTGATTCACATTGTTATTATGTATATTCTTTACATTCTTTAGCTTAAATACATGAATTTCCATCACTAACACATAAATAGGATATTGCTTAGCAATCTGTTGTTGTTGTTTTAACATATGCTTGACATCCTGTAAAATGTGTGCATTTTTAATCGATATAAGCACATCCAAAGGTTTTAGCACAATTTGTCTCTGCCTTTTCAACAAGTTCACAATAAGGCTTGAATGAACTAACTGCATCTACTGTTGTCTTTTTCTAACATTTTCCTCCTGTTGTTCCTTATGTAGTTACCCATTCACAAGTTCCTGTTACAGTTATTTCTTATTCACAATCATTCTAGGATTTTAATTGCCCACAATCATTACATCTATTTGTGTGTTAAACTTGCTATGTTAAAACCATTGCTAATAAACATATCACAATTAAATTCTTCATTTAAAGTATTATAAAACAATTATCTTTTTAAGGGGTATTTAAATTCATCAAGAATTAATTTTTTTAAATTTATAAATAAACCAACTTTTTTTTTTAGATTACTGATCAAAATTAACTTTGTGATTCAAATGACAACATTAATATTTTTATTTTAGGAAAATTTTATATGATTACCATTCATATTGACTTTAAAAAATGGTTTTAGGTGATAATTATAAAATATCTATCACCTCTGAGGATAAATATAGAATAATTGAAAGTAACAAACATTTTTGTTTTTTTTTCAAATATTATACTATCCTATTTGTTTTTGATTGCCAAATTGGTTGTTAATTATGTGAATCTGAGTAATCTGAGAGAGAATGTTTGTTTTTAAGAGTGCTTCAAAAAAATAAAAATGACTCAAGAATATTATATATAAAATCTAGGATCACAAAAGCCAAATTAATTATCAAAGGGTATCTTCTTTATTGTGTGCTCTTGATAAGAAGGTTTTAAGTGTATCAGCCCAAAGAATTATCAGATCAAGCACATCCGAAATTTTTTAGATAAACCATTTATTATAAACTGTTGAAAATTTTAAAAAGAATATTTATGATTATTTAGAGCAGCAGCAATGTTTTATAATCATTTGGAAGACTATTTGATAGATCATGATGTATTTTTTTTTATTTTATAAAGTTTGATTTTGATGTTGCCAAAATTAAAAACCCTTTAAATGACTGTTAAATTGCAAGGGATGCCACTAATATATATCTGCTGAATAATTTTGGAAAGTATACAAAGTTCAATCAATCATTTAACGAATACAAATTTATCAATTATAGAAAAAAAATAGATTTAATCAGATAAATTTTAATATTTTAGAGATAATGTTTAAGCTGTTAAAAATAAAAAAAAATTTATAATAATAAAAGTAAAGTCAATAGTAAAAATCCAAAGTTCAAGAATTCGATCATCAAGTTTTGAGGACGGATAAATAATTTCATTGATTTACTGCATCATGATAGATGCCTTAAAATTAAAAAACTTAACCAATAAATCGAACAAATTAAAATATGAGATAAAATCTTAGAGTTTATCGTTATATAAATATTTAATTAATGATTTAATTACTATAATATTATAATTTAAAAAAAAAGTGAAAATAAGTAGTATAACATAGTAGAACCTAAGAATAAGATTTGAGAAAAGATATATTAGGATATGATTTATTAAAAGAAGATTATTAATGATCATCAAAATTAGATAAATAAAATTATTTAGTTTAAAATTATATTTATTATCTCTTACTTTATCGGGTAGAAATAAACTAATTTAAAATATATAAATTTTATTTTTTAACTATAATCATATTATGTCAAAACAAGTATTTTTATTTTTAATAATTATTTTTTAGAAATATCATTATATTAACACTAGATAAAGTATTTTGATAATTCTTTAAACAAATTTTTAATTAAAAAAATATCAAATTTTTGCAATTTAAATAAATAAATCTTGAAATATTTATAAATTAATAGCTATTGAAAATGATTCTCTAAAATTTATCATAGTATTATGCAAAAACAATAAAAATCTTGAAGAAAATTAATACCTTATATTTAGATCAATGAATTATTATTTATCTAAGGATAAGAAAATAAGATTGATATCAGATTAAAAATCTCAATTTTCGATATTTTTCTTGATTAAAATTTAATCATTTTTGCACTTTCAAATTAAACGATATTTTCCAAAAATTAAATTAAAGTTGTTAATTAAATTATATAATAAACAAAAATGTTATAAGGAATTTGTCTTTATTAATTTATGAATTTAGGATAAAAATTGGTCTGCTTCTATCAAATCATATGATAAAACATTTGATTTTAGTTGTATTAATTTAAACTGTTTAATTATTTTATTACTCAAATTATATTTAGAAAAATTAGAATATTTTGATATTTATATATTAATTCAAAAATGTAATTAACGATTATGAATAATAAAAGAAATTTTGAATAAGTCGATTCCTCTTTCTATAAAATTCAAAAGTTAAGAAGTATATAACGTTGATGTTTAATTTTGATATAAACTCAATTAATTTTAAGGCTTTGTACAAAAAAGTATATTTTCGATGAAGTATCAATATCAAAGTAATGAATTATCACTTATTAATAATTACTTGTTTAAATTAGATATTTTATGTCATTAATCTTCTAAGAAGATGTATTAATTAAAATTTTTACTATGTCAAGAATATCTGAAAATTTGGCCCAGAAACTTATAAAGGAATTTCTTTATCATTTTGATATTTTTGCCCAATAACCCAATTTTACAATCCTCAATCGCAACAAATTTCCCTCAATACTTGGCTTTTTAATTTCAATAATGATTGCTTTGTTTGGACTCTATTTTTTTCTTACAGAAATAGTTTCTATGGTCTCTAAATCAAAACCTGCTATTTATCAAACCGAATTATCTATAACTGAAACAGAAGTATAAAAATTAACAATATTTAGCCATTTATCCTTGAAAATGATAACTTTACTTTAGCAGTATCTATTGTAAATCGTTACTCAGAGCCATTGATAGGAATTAATCGATATTTTTAATTAAATATAAGTTAATGCGAGAGATTAAGGATAAAGGATTAATCATCAGGAAATATTTCTGTGAATTTGAAGTAAATATTACTGGAATAATAAGTTGTACATAAATGCCAATCGAGCCATGTAATATGTCACATTTCACAACTGATTTACAGAAAGACTATTTTTCAATCATTAGAATGGGAGGTATCTAATGTATTAATAGGAAATATTTGAAAGAGAATCCATTAGTATATAAATTTTTAATGTATTAGGTTCTTTAGGGGTAGATTTCATCTCAAGCATTTAGATACATATTTATCTAATTTACTACCTGTTAAAATACAAGTTTATTTCATGATTGTGCACCTTAAGGGGAAATAGAAAGTATATTATAATCAGGACATTACAATATTTATAAAAGTGATTACCTTACAAAACTTGACAAACCAGGATAACCTTATTAAGAAATAATCACTAATGAATTTACAAGTTTTTCTTTAAGTACTTCTAAGACTATTTCATAAAAATATAAAATCTAATAAACATCTACAGATGAAGGATTAATATGGGAATAAATTTAGGATTAATCGAATATTTAATAAAGTGAATGGAGAGAAATATCTGAATTTTACAATAATCAATATATTGTTGTTCACTATATACGATTAGATTACAAATAAACAAATAACATTAGAACATATGTTAAGTTATAAACTATTCTAGGAAAATTAGGTGGAATATTCTAAATATTTATTATGATAGTGGCTATTGTATTAAAACCTATTATTGAAAACTTTATGAAATTAGAAATTGTGAATTCTATTTTCAATTTTTCTGATTAAATTGAAATTCAAAATCAATAATCTTCTCATGTCATGATGATTTAAACTGATAGGGATAGAAAAGATTGTATAAATAAATCTATTAATCAGCAAAAATAACATTAACCTATCTAAAATAATCAACAAAATAAATTTAGTTAATCTAAACTTGATCCTTGGTTAATAATATTTGGATGTAATTAATAAAAAAAAAAATAATTTATAATCGCAAAAAACAAAATTAATAAATATCTAGAAATCGTCAACATTTTAAGAAAATTGTAAGAGATTGAAATTCTTAAAAAGATTTTGCTTACAGAAGAGCAATAGATAATATTGAAAAAATATAGAAGATAAATAAATTAAAATAGTTTTTCTAATAATGAAGAGAATTAGAAATAAATTGAAAATACTAATCAAAAACTGGAATTAGACAAATGTATGATTTAATAGAAAAGCAAAACAGTTTTAGATTAACTTGGTATCAAATTACCAGAGTAAATAGTATACAAAGATACTTTTAACTCATGTTATAAATTGAAAGAAATTTAATCAGTAGGTGATTTTGAAATCTAAGAGCCTATAGCTTAAACACCAAAAACATGAGTAATTTTTTGAATATTAAAGTAAAATGTATATTTTTAATTTTGTTAAGAAGCATCATTAAATGTAAAAAATAGTGATTATTATTGATAGAAACTTGATATATTTTACATCGCAGTATTGAATCCAGAATTAATTTTTTATTTGTCTTTCTGCAGCAAGAGAACTATTCTAATATAATCTTATGTTATAGTAAGCAAAGATGCTCAAATTGAAGTTTTAGCTTAGATTATTCTTGATGAAAATTTATTAATTGGCATCCTCTCCACTTGATAATTGCACTAAAACTTGTAATATAAGAGGAATTTGGATTTAATATTTTTATTAGACAATTATTGATTATCTACTTTCAATATTTGCTGTTTTGGCCTTGTAAAGAGTCAGAATTGATAAAACCTAATGAGCTTTTCTCTTATTTATACTTTAGCTTGAATTAAGTTAATATTGTTAATTACTAAAGAAATAAAGGAAGTGCCGCTTATTTAAATAAAACTAGATTAACTAATTTATTAAATTAATTGGTTTCTGGATTGATTTCAAATAATAAAATATTTGATAAATTGATCTCATTTTAAAAATTATGTTCTTTGTTTATTTTTTGTTACCATTATGAACATAATTAGTTGATTTTTTGATTTATTAAATAAAGCATAAGTTTGTATTTTTTTTTTTTTTATATCATAAGG